TTCTGGGGGGAGGGTACTGGAGATTGAACTCAGGGGCACTCGCCCACTGAGCCACATCCCCAGCTCTATTTTGTATTTTATTTAGAGACAGGGTCTCACTGAGTTGCTTAGTGCTTTGCTGTGGCTTTGAACTCACGATCCTCCTGCCTCAACCTCCTGAGCCACTGGGATTACAGGCATGCGCCACTGTGCTCAGACTCCCTAGTTCTTTTTTTAAAAATATTTTTTAGTTGTGGTTGGACACAATACCTTTATTTATTTATCTTTATGTGGTGCTAAGGATTGAACCTGGTGCCTCACCCATGCTACGTGAGTGCTCTATCACTGAGCCACAATTGTAGCCCCCTAGTCCTTTGTTTTTATCTTGGCCTTAACCTCTGGAATTTTTTAAACTAATTTTTAAAATTTACATATGACAGTGGAATGCATTACTATTCATATTACATATATAGAGCACAAATTTTTCATATCTCTGGTTATATACAAAGTATATTCACACCAATTTGTGTTTTCATAAATGTACTTTGGATAATGACGTCCATCACATTCCTCTGCCTCTGGATTTTTGGCTCAGCTCTTAGAAAGGCTCTTCCTTTTCCATGAAAAATGGCTTCTGGAATGAGAAGGGGATTATGGGGATAGGATTAGAAAGGGCAATAGGGAGGATGGATACCATCAAATAGGATGGATATCATCAAAGTTCATTATATGCATGTATAAAAATGTTACAAAGATATTCATCATTTTGTACAATTAATATGCACTAGTTGGGTATGGTGGTATACACATGTAATTCTGGCTGTTTGAGAGGCTAAGGCAGGAGGATTGCAAGTTTGAGGCCAGCCTGGGCAATTTTGTGAGATTGTTTAAAAAAAAAAAAAGTGGGGCTGGGGTTGCAGGTCAGTGGTAGAATATACCTGAGTTCAATCCCCAGTGCAGCAAAAAAGAAAAAAATGGCTAATAATTACAATTAAAAATGGAAAAGAAAGAAAGAAAGAAAGAAATGGCCTCGAAGAGGGCATTATAACTCAGTGGTACAATGCTTGCTCCATTATGTGCAAGGTCCTGATTTAACATCCAGTAATGCAAAAAAAAAAAAAAGACAGTTCACAAGTAAGTAGTTTGCCTTGTTTCCTTTGGTAAAGGCCTTTTAAAAAAATGCTGTGCTAAGTCCTTTTTTGTTCATGCTGGCAGTCATCCTGCCAGTACAATTGAAAATAACCTATATCCCAAACAAACACAAAACTGTCTGGGTTTCTTGTGAAAATTTTCTCTAAAGCCATATCCATAATTCTTTTTAAGGTAGATTATTTTCTACCTTAGGCATGTCAGGCTGCTCTGAGCAAATGACTTTGAGAGTCTTATGTAGTAAGGGCGCCTTGAATTTTCTGTGGTCTTAAAAGGCCTAATTACCCTTACCCTTGGTTTGATATTTATTTTGAATTATTTCTTAGTGGAAAAATTTTTGCTGATTGGAGAGTCTAGAAACGTGACATGGGTTTTATTTTCCATCTTAGTTATCTTGGATCTTTTGTATTTTCTCCAAATTTGACTTACAAACCTGAACTATTTCTTCTTTAATTCATCTCCCTTCTTATAGCTTCAGTATTCAGATTTTTAAAAAAGCCAATTTATACTTCTTTTTTTTTAAACCTGGGGGCTGAGGTTGTGGCTCAGTGGTAAAGTGCTCACCTAGCATGTGAGAGGCCCTGGGTTCGATCCTCAGTACCACATAATGATAAATAAAGGTATTGTGTCCATCTACAACTAAAAAATATTAAAAAAAATAAAATCTGGAAATCTTCATAATCAGATCCAGAATTTAATGGAGTGTATTTTATATCTGAAGTTATTTCATGAAATCTTTCAAGACTCTAGTTATAGTTTCTTCATTTCCTTCCGGTTTCCATAAGAAGTCTTTCTGTTACCCTTCCAGTCTTTGCTTACCATGCAGACCTAAAGCCAGTGCCACCTATTGTAGATTTTTGTTACTGCAGCCTTCTATTTCCAATACTTATTTCTGTATTGGTTACCTATTGCTGTGTAATAAACCACCCAAATTTAGTAGCTTAAAACAATAATTTTTTATTTCTCATATTTTGTGGATTGGAATATTTGTCTGCTGGTTTTATGTATGTTTTTTCATACAGGTTTATTGAATTATGGATTTTCTTAGGGCTGAGCTCAGGTGGAAAAGGGGAAACTTCTGGGTCTTGTTCTTCACATGGTATGTCATTCCAGACTATGTCACAGGATGGTGATCTCTGGGGAGCATTCTAAGAGTTCAAAGGTAGAAACTGCAAGACCTCTTGAGGCCTACTTTCATACTACTTTCCGTAATTTATACGTTATCAATTCTGACATATTCTATTAATGAAAGTAAGTCATAAAACTCACCTAGATTCAAGAGGGTTAAGAAAAGAGTCTATGTCTGGATGGGCGGAACAACAAAATCACATTTTAAAGTGATATAAGTATGAAATGGTAGGATTTTTTGCCCATTAAACAGTATATAGCTATTGTGATTTGTGCTGCTATAAAATTGATGTGGCTGTGTCCCTGTAGTATGCTCTTCTTAGGTCTTACAGCCACATCAATGTTTATAGCAGCACAATTCACAATAGCTAGAATGTGGAACCAACTTAGATGCCCTTCAATAGATGAATGGATTAAAAAATGTGGCATTTATACACAATGGAATATTACTCAGCACTAAAAAATAATAAAATCATGGAATTTGCAGGCAAATGGATGGCATTAGAGCAGATTATGCTAAGTGAAGTTAGCCAGTCCCTAAAAAACAAATGCCAAATGTCTTCTCTGATATAAGGGGGGCAACTCAAAATTGGACAGGGAGGAAGAACATGAGAAGAAGATTACCACTAAATAGGGAAGAGAGGTGGGAGGGAAAAAGAGGGAGAAGGGGAGTTGCACAGAAGATGGGAGGAGATCCTCATGGTTATACAGAATACATTTATGATGTTGTAATGAGAAAAAGAAAAAAAAGTGTGTCACATTAGATTGGATAGAGAGAGGATGAGAGAGGAGGGGAGGAGTAGGGAGGATAGGAAGGGCAGCAGAATAGAATAGACATATTGATTGATGTATGTACATTCCATGTATGTATTATATATCAAAATGCATTCTACTGTCATGTATGACTAAAAAAATAAATAAAAATTAAAAAAACAGTATATAAACTATATGACTAATCACTAGATAAAAGAGGTGCTTGTATTTTTGAACCAAAAACAGGATGCTATGAGGGAAAAACCTACTTTAATGTAACATAAAAGAGCTCTTGGGTACAAAAACATAAAGGATTTCAACAGAAAGATTAGAAGATAAAGTGGAGGGGATCTCTCAAATAGCAGAACAAAAATATGATGAGATAGGAAATAGGAGGAAAAAGATAAGAAAATTAGGAAGTCCAGAAAGGTAATACAATGTCTAACTAAAGGGAGTTCCAGAAAATGGGAGGGTATTATTAAAAGAAATATCTAGGAAAACTTTCCCACAGCTGAGGCCCAATTATCAATTAAGCTTGGGGTTAGAATAAAGTACTCTTATAGAAATTGTTATATATCTAAAAGCTTAGCTTCAGTTTCATAGAAAATAATTAGAGGTTACTCTTTGTCAAAATGAGAAAAAAGCAAAAATGAAGACATATGAACCAGGAAATAGTAGTTTAAACACAAAGTATCAATAATGTACTCAAGCACATTATATGATAAAAATCATCTAATGTGTTAAAAAACATGGAAAAATTTTTGCTATGTGACACATTTTTTTGGAGAGTATTTGGAAAAAAATAGACAATAGGTATAGAGCCAAATAAGAAATAGAAAATCGGTACTTGATTATCTTTGTGTGCTGCTGATTGTCCTTGAAAAATTATTTGTGAAGATTCTTTGAATCCTTTGCATAAAGTTACATTTCTGTAGAAGGAATTTTTACTTGCATCTGCAAGTTTTTTTTCAGACATTACCAAGGTGAAAGTATTTTAGATTATATAAATAGGTCAAGGTTTCTCTCACCACCTTTTATAATACAAAATTTCATGACAAATTCATATGAAATTAAAATTAAGGTTAATGTTTTCTAGGGGTTAAAGATGGGGGGAAAGGAGTGGGTATGGCAACAAAGGGAGCTTGAAGGAGCTTGAAGGGAGCCTGTGTTGGTGTTAGAATTCTGTTTCTTGATTGTGGTCATAGTCATGAAGTTATGCCTGTGATAAACTTTCATAAAAGTAAATATACACGTTTGTATGCACACACAAATGAATGCACATCTAATTGGTAACATCCTAAATTCTGGGGATTGCATCAGTGTCATACACAATATTTTATTGTCCTCTTGTTATACTACAAGATGTTAACATTGGAGGAGGTTGCTTGAATGGTCCTGTACATTGCTTTGCAACTACTTCCAATAATTATTTGACATTGAAAATTTGAAAAGGAAAGTTTCTTGAAACCTGACTCATACATTTTTCTGGATTGAGAATATGTTAGGTACCTTGGTTTTAAATAAAAAGCAGTTACCACAGCCTCCTCTTGCAATTTTGTTGAGTTTTTAAAGGTCATATTACTATTAATTAGTGTTCACACAATCCCTTGCATAATAGCTTTATGTCAAGGCAAAGTTTAGGAAAAGAATTTGCATTTATCTTGGCATGCAGGAGCTATGAAGGGTCAAACCTTGCCTGCAATATGAGGAACACAACTTCTAAGAGACTGGTGTTTAAGGGCAGAAAATTTCTCTGAGGAAACCTGGGTACCAGAAAAATCCTTAGCTATGGAGAAATTGAATAGAATATTGCTGTTAAGTTTAGTTTTTGTATGAAAGATGGAGTAGGAATGATAAAAAACTGTATGTACTGTCAAACCTGGAAGATTATGGGATACAGATTGTTACATTTTTGTGGTAACTATATTTTTACTTGGAAAACAGTTTTTTTTATTTGAAATCTTTTTATATTACAGGAAATAAATGTTACTATGGAGAACGATTTCAACACTGAGTCATCATCATCTGCCTTTACTCTTCAACATTCTTCAGAGACAATGTTTTCCATTCAGTTATTAGATTTCAAAACAAGTTTACTGGAAGCAGTAGAAGAATTACGTATGAGAAGGGTAAGTTCCTTTTTTGAATTTTTTAAATAAGAGAACTTGCTTTTATCCTTTTTTTTTTTTTTTTTTGGTTATTGCTTCTCAAGGGGGAAAATAAGAACCCAAGAAAATAACCTCTTGTTTAGAAAGAAAATATGCAGTCCAAATAATGACATAAAAACACAGCAATTAAGACAATGACCAGGGAACAGGAACTAAGAAAGATCTAGAAACTAAAACAAACAGGATAGGGATTTTCAGATTGCTATATAATTAATAAGTCAGGTACTATTGATGGGGCCACTGGGGATACATAGATAGCACTGTGGTTAGATGCTCTGCAAATTGAAATAAACTGCTCTTGGTGAGGTTACATTTTTTTAAGATAGTATGGTAGGTTCCTGTAAAAATGATTAAATAGTGAAACAGAGCAATATATGATTAAGTGACAAAATAAACGTATGTAGTAAGTATTCTGAGTTCAAAGAATCAAATACCCTTAGTTTTTAAAGTAATAGCTGAAATTTTAAAAAGGAGATACCTAATATATTACCTGTAAAATATCTTGGTTTCAACAGGAAATCTATATTGTGTAAACCTCGTTAAAAAGCATTTAATTTCTGAGATTGTGTGGAACTGTTTTTTTCTTGAACTTCTGGGGATTGCACCTGCTAGGCAAGTGCCCCACAACTGATCCTAGCCCTCTGTGGATCTAAATTTGAAAAATACATTTTAACTCTGTAGGATGATTGGTGTTCAAAGGGTTTTGAAGAGAAGAAAATAAACTATAAAATTATTTCAGTAGTGATCCAGTAGTATATTTACTAGGACTTATACATGTCTATGAAGATAGAACAAAAGAGGCAGAAGAATTGATAGATAAAGTAACTTCCTGAAAATAAACTACAAGTGAGAGGAAAAAAAGATCTGAAATAACATATTATATGAACCTTGTTCTGGGATTTAAAATTGGTGAAATTTATTGTTATAATAAGAAAATTTAAATATTACAGTGCTTATCCTATATAAAGCTACTTATTGGTGTAACAAGAATCTGTTAAAGGAGAAATTTTTCTGAAAAATGGTATCTTTGATTAAGTGTTATAAAGAAATATTTTTGCAACATTAATTTAAAATGTTACCTTTTCTAAATGAAACAACTTTAGGCCACTATTTAAAATTTAATATTTTTTATATTTTAAACATTTTATTGTGGTCTGTTTGTATTTCCAACCTGTTTTTCAAGTCTATTCAGATGTTTTTTACTTGCTATCTAATCTTTACCTAGAGTTTTTAAGTTTCAGTGATTATATTTTTCATTTCTAGATATTCCTTTGAAAATTGAAAAAAATTAATACAGTGCCAGCCAGAATTGAATGCAATGGTTTTTGGAACTTGGCAGGATGATTCTAAAGTTATATCTGTAAAAAAAATGCATGAGAGGTCAGCACAGTGGTTTACGTCCCAGCTACTCCATAGGCTAAGATAAGAGAGTTGCTTGAGCACAGGGAGTTCAAGGCTAATCTAAGCAGCGTAGCAAGACCATGTCTTTTAAAAAAAAGGCATGAGGATAGCCAAGAAAAATTTCAAAACAGTGAATTGTTACTTGCTCTATCAAATATATTAAGATAGGTTCTAAAGCAGTAACAAAAGTGTGACTACTGAAGAAATAGAAAAATTGATAAGTGAAAGAATAAATCAATTTAGTGGGGGAAAAGAACAGTCAATAAATGGTATTTGGACCATTCATACATGCCTCAGACACAAAAATTAAGCTCAGGACAAAGAAAAACTAGGAAAAAAAAGATACAAATGCAAGGAAAAAAAAGATACAAATAATAGATGAACATTTAATTTTGTTGTTTGATCGAACCCAGGGGACTCTACCACTGAGCTACATCCCTATCTATAACAGGGTGGCTAGCACCCTGACAGAGTAGGTTCCTGCCCAGGAGGTGTGAGCTGGCCTGGAAAATAAAAAGTCAGCAATCAGTAAGAAATAAAGACAAATCCAGAAATTAGATATATAAAGTGGAATGTCTGATGGGTCTTCCAGTCCTAATGGGAACTGGAACTGAACAACTGACTAAAAGGCCCCAATTCTTTATTTAAGAGGGATTACATCAAAGGCAGGCATAAGGTTTCAATGGGAGGAGTCTTGTTTTGGTGCTTGCTTCTCTGTTGTGGCAGGGGTCTTGGAGTAAACAGGTTTATTGGCATTTGAGAAGCTACACCCATCTTCGAGAGGCTGTCTGGCTCCCATCTCCAGAGCTGAGCTAGAACTTGAGTGGTGAGCTAGACAGGGCACCATGTGAATCAGGTGTTCTTGAACCAGTGGATTGGTTCCTCCTGGGAGTTTCTGATACCAGGCTTCCCTACTTAATGGCTGGAATATTGCACAGTCCATGCATGGGTCATGGATGGCTTCCAGCACTCATCCTCAAGTAGCTGGGATTAACAGGTGTGCATTACTTTACCCAGGAAGAAATAATTTTTATGGTCTTGGGAATAGATTATCCTTGGTAAAGGAAAAGATGACAGATACAAAAATGATTAGCTTCTTTGGAATTAAAGCCACCATAAATGAAGTTTTTTAAAAAAAAGTGGCTGAGAAAATATCTGCAGCATGTGAAATGGGAAAAGAGATCAATACTTATTTACAATATATTCCTATGGATCAAGACAACTCAATAGAAAAATGGATAGAACAAAGAATAAAGAATACTCAAAATACAAAAGTAGCCTTACTTTATTAATGTTAAAATAAGTACAAATTAAAAAAAAATGAGATATTTTTGCTTCCCAATTTGGAAAATTATTAAAAAGATTTCTACATTTTTGGCCCTCACTGCTGCCTTCTCATGAGCTGGGAGGCCTGGGCTTTCTAGGCAAGTAAGGCTGTGGTAGGCACCCATGTTTTCTATGCAGAGCAGGCCAGGATTCCAGGATGGAGCTCCCTGAGCTGCTTGAGTGAGTAGGCCTCTAGGCAGTGGACCAAGGGATGGTGCCTAGGTGGTGCAGGCCTGGCTCACCTCTGTACCCACACTGTTGGGTGAACCTGAGAAGCTCTTTACCAAGCTTGACCACGTTGGCAAGGACTCATTTGGGGAGGTGTACAAGAGCATCAACAACCACACCAAGTAGTTAGTGGCCATCAAGGTCATTGAACTAGAGGAGGCGAGAGATGAGAACAAGGATATCTAGCAGGAGATCACCATGCACAGCCAGTGTGACAGTCCCTCTTGATGGGCTTCTTTGACTTCTACCTGAAGAGCACCAAGCTGTGGATCATCATGTACCTGGGTGGGCGCTTGGCACTGGACTTGCTGAAATCGGTTCCAGTGGAGGAGACTTACATTGCCATTATCCTGCGGGAGATTCTGAAGGGCTGGGATTATCGGCACGGAGTGCAAGATTCACTGAGACAGCAAAGTTGCTGGTGTCCTGCTGTCAGAGCAAGGCAACGTGAAGCTAGCAGGTTTCAGGGTGGCAGGGCAATTCACAGCACATGCAGATTAGGAGAAACATGTTTGCAAGCATCCCTTTTTGGAAGGCACCCGAGGTTATCAGGTTGGCCTAAGGCTGACATTTGGTCCCTGGGCATCATGGCCATAGAACTTGCAAAGGGGGAGCTACCCAATTCCAACCTCTATCCCATATATGTTCTGATTCTGATTCCTAAGACCAGGCCACCCTCACTGGAGGGCCACCATAGAAAGCCCTTCATGGAGTTTGTGGAGACCTTCTTCAACAAGAACCCCCTGATTCTGACCCACTGCAAAGGAGTTGCTAAAGCATAAATCAAATGCTGCACCAAGAAGACCTCCTTTCTCACCGAACTCATAGACTGTTACAAGCTTGGAAAGTCTGAGGGGCATGGCAAGGAGTCCAACATTGATAGTGAGGCTGAGGACCAGGAGCAGGGTCCCATCTGGACATTCCCCCTGACCACCCAGCCAAGCCCACATAGCAAGCTGTCAAGGGGACAGCTGCCAAGGGGCCCTGCCACTTTCATTGAAAATCTGGATTGGAAAAACAAAAAGATTAATAAATTCCAGTGTTGGCAAGTTTTCAGGAATGAGTACTTCTTATCTTTTATTTATTGATGTAAATTAATACAGACCATGAATGAAAATTCAGTTTATCTGTCTAAATCAGAATTTAAAATTTTATGATCTTAACAAATGAACAGTTTATATTTTTTTGTAGGATAATTCCTTGTTTGGGCTAACTTGGGCCAAGATTTTTCTTTAATAATATTTATTATATCATTGAAATGGGAAAAAATTATAATCAAAATATCGGTCAGCAGGGTACACAAATGATATTATTACATTTGTGACTTCTGATGAACCATCCTTCATGCCCTAGAATAGATCACTCTCATATTAACTTAGATCTGGTCACATGATTTTCTTTGGCTAATAGGATATTAGTTAACATGAAGCATTATAGACTTGACACATACTTGAACCTTGGGGCTTATCATCTTGGAAGCCATCTGCTATGTCATAAAGCTCAGAATAGATTATTGAATGATGAGAAGTTATATAGGAGGAGACATTAGAGAGTGAGAGAACATCGTGATCATTCTAATCCCAGCCAAACTACAGTATGAATGCATGTGCATAAGTGACCTTATCCATGCCCTGTGAAACAGAACTTCCCAGGTGAGCTCAGTCAATGTACAAAATTGTGAGATTTAATAAATTTTTTGTTATTTTAAACTGCTAAATTTTGATGTAGTTTGATATGCATAGTTAGATGACCAAATCAGATATGTGGACTATTCTGTAATTATGAAAATTAATGAGTTAGGTACATACAGACCAACATGGAAGATGTGTGGAATACAGAAAATCTTTCCTTTATATGGTAGTGTGGGACCATAAAAAAAAAATGCCTCTGAAAGCTGAAACCATGTGAAGTGATTTTAAAAATAAATGGTAAGGGAGGGAAAGAGGAGATTCTGGGGAATGATATTCGCCAAATAATATTGTTATATTGTGTGCATGTACACATAT